GGAGAAGACTCTTGAGAGTCCCTTGGACAGCAAAGAGATCCAACCAGTTCATCCTAAAGGAAATCGTCCTGAATATTCATTGGAAGGACTGATGCTGAAGCTGAAACTCCAATACTTTGGTCACCTGATGCAAAGAACTGACTCATTTGAAAAGACCCTGATGCCAGGAAAGACTGAAGGCAGGAGGAGAAGGGGATGCCAGATGATGAGATAGTTGGATGGCATCACCAACTCAATTGACATGAGTTTGAGTAAACTCTGGGAATTGGTGATGGACAGGGAAGCCTGGTGTGCTGCCATCCATGGGGTCACAAACAGTCAGACATGACTGCATGACTGAACTGAACTGATGATGTTATATGGAGTTCCACTCAATGGTGACCTTGTGCAGAATATCCTGGAACATACTGAAACCCTCTGTTTGCCTCTATCAACCCTTCCCTTTGCTCCTGGGCACATTCCAGGCAGGGGAACATGATTCTGTGGCAAGGGTGGTCTTTTTTTGTTTTTCTTTCTTTAATTAATCCTAAGCTTCTAATTCCAAAATATATATTCCCAATAGGCCAGCCTCATCACCTCCTTTAACTCTTCATAACAGCCAGTTTCCTGTTTTCAGTGATTCCTAACAAAATGTCAGGAAAATTATTCCCGTGAATGTTAAGATGCTTACATTTTAATTTCCTGGTTTATAAAGTATTTAAATTTGTAAAGCGCAAACTCCAAGAAAACATGTGAAATAATGAAATGGGGATCGTCCCTGAAGCCAGGCTACATACAATAACCAACACTTACTGAGTGAGCACTTGCAAGGAGCCATTCATTGCCTCATTTAATTTTGACCCCAACTTACTATTATTATCCTCATTTTCCAAATAAGGAAACTGAGGTTGTTAGTATTAAGCATCTTGGCAAAGACACACATCTGGGAAGTGGCGGACTGGAACTCAACCCTTGGTCTGATTTCAGTGATTGCTCTTAATTACTGCCAGGGGCTCCTAACACCAGTCACAGCTAGCTGGGCCTGGCTAGTGACAATGCTTTTGTCATTCAGCACTGCTGAAGCAAAATATATTCATTTTCTCAAAATTATTAGATTATATCCTTTCTACATTTTTTGGTTTTTCAGCACTACTCTTTTACACTACTATGTAATAGAGGTACATTAGGGCATTAATGTTAGCTTGTCCCTCTCATATAATAACCCATTGATTCAGGTTGCTCTAAGGCAGATCTCTTCTGAGCAGCAACTCAAGAATCCTGCTTTCTTTTACTGTATGGATCCACCACTTTGGAGTTCTTTACTTTAACCATAGGCATGAAAATGGGAAAAAGAGTAGAATAAGCACTCTGATTCTTAACTGCCTTGATCTGGAACTGAATCAAGTCAGTTCTGCTTAAATTCCATTGCTGGATCACAATCAAATAATTTCTCCTAACTAGAAGAGAGACCAAGAAATAGTCTTTCTGTGTACCCAAAAAGAAGTGGAGAATTGAACATTGGAGAAGAATAGAAGCAGCTCCAAGAGATGGGGGGTAGACAGTACATGGTTTGTATCAATGTCTTTATCTAGAAAAAACAACTTTGGCAATTCAAGATTGAAGTCCAAAACATTGTAATTATTCTTTGATTTTGTTGTTGTTCTTCAATTCCTAATTTGTGTCTGACTCTTTGCAACCCCTTGGACTGCAGCATACGAGGCTCCTCTGTCCTTCACTATCTCCCAGAGTTTGCTCAAATTCATGTCCATTTAGTTGGTGATGCTATCTAACCATCACATCCTCTGTCATCCCTTCTCCTTTGCCTTCAATCTTTCCCAGCATCAAGGTCTTTTCCAGTGAGTCAGCTCTTCGCATCAGATAGCCAGAATATTGAAGCTTCAGCATCAGTCCTTCCAATGAATATGTGAGGTTGATTTCCTTTGGGATTAACTCATTTGATCCTTGCTGTTCAGGGACTCTCAAGAGTCTTATCCAGCACCATAATTTGAAAGCAATTCTTCAGCACTCAGCTTGCTTTATGGTCCAACTCTTGAACCTGTACAGGACTAGTGGAAAAACCATAGCTTTGACTATATGGACCTCTTGTCAACAAAGTGAGGCCTCTGCTTTTTTTTTTTTTCCCACCTTTTTTTCTCCTTTTTTACTTACACTAATACATCAGTAAATCAGTAGTCACATTCTGTTATCACAATTGTTATGTTGAGAGAGGAAGAAAAGGGAAAAAAGGCAAATGCTTTCTTAGAGGCAAAAAAAAAAAAAAAAGATACCCCTTTTAAAAAAAAAAAAAATGAAGAGCTGGGAAATAAAAACTAAGATTCCCCAAGCCCACCGGAGCTCAAAGAAAAGCAGAAGAGCTGCTAGAAAGTAGAAGGAAGGCAGCAGACAGGCCCATAAGTTAAGGCCAGTCCTGTTCCTAAGTGGGGCAGTGGAGGGGAGAAGAAGCCTGAAGAAATGGTTTCCCAGCCCAAGGCAATGAAACATCTTCACTCCTGCTCCTTGGGGAAAACTGCACAAAGAACTTCATTTCTAAGAAACTTATGAGAGCCATCCTAGTTCTTCCACTTGTAAGAACACACTGGGTGCTTTAGGGGGCTAATGGGTGCTGGGAAAAGAGGGGGAGAATATGCATTTCAGGGCCGTGGGAACTAAGGGTACCCTTGGGAAATAAAGGGAATTGAGGCATAAGTGGAAGAACCTAAGCTCAGTCCTTCAGAATCTCAGCGTCATGGATTTCTCAGCTGCTCTGAACAGAAAGCAGTCTACAAGCCCAAAAGGCAGAACGGTTCCAATCCTAGCTCACTATGGCCTCTCCTATCTTATTTCCCCCAATTTCCCCAAAATTCTAAGCTAGAACAAGAAGGAATTTAGAGTTCTCTTTTGCTTTGATGGCTTCCCAAAGACATCTTAAAATACCTGATGAGGGGCATGGAGAGAGGCTAGAGATTTAGAAAGGACCAATGTCCCCTGGTGGTGAGACAGTCATGAGGGACCTTGAGTACCAGCCATTCCCTATCCACAGGAACAGGCGTTATGATATGAGGGGGCCACAGGCAGACCTCGGTGGTACAACTCCCTAGTGGTGTGTGGATTAAACCACTGGTTGCATGGGGGATGGGTTTGGGGCGGTAAGCATGGCCAACTGAAGATTCTAACAAAGGAGAAAAGAAATCGGGCCTGATGGGAGGTAGCGGGGGCAGGACAGACTGTACCGTGGGAATAAAGATCATATCTATTTACAGGGAAGTAGAAAGGACACAGTAATGGGTGCATCAAATTGAATGGGAACCGTGGAAAAGCACAGAAAACTCCTCCCTCTGGCCAGACTCTTCTTCACTCTCCTACAGTGAGTAGCCATGCTATCCTGAGACTGAGCAGTTTCTCAGTTAACTTCCCAGGAAAGATAAACCTATACCAAAGAGTTCAGTTGGCAAGAATACAGGTGAAGTGAGAGTCAGAGTTAGAGGCAGCAAGCAATGGAGACTGGGCTTGACCAGCTGCCACCGGCACAGTTCTCTGCAGCGCCCCCTCAAATCTCACATACACACTGGATTCCACTTAATTAAAAAGAGGGCACGTATATCAACCAAACCGCCCATTAAACAAGTATCACAACTGAACTACCATCAATTAAAGTGCAAACTGCAGGGGGATATGGTGGCTGGGACTGGGGCCATCTGAAGGCCAGAGAGAAAAAAATGCCTAAGTCATAGGATGGGTATCAGAAACTGATCCCTCCTCCATTTAGATCACAGCAGAGCCAAAGAGGCAGGCAACCAGTGAAGATTCTTTGGAGGACTCTGGGGTCCAGAATCTCCCCCATTATGGGGGAGAAGCTACCTAAGAAGCTGGGTGAGGGGAAGATAGGCCTTGGAAGAGTTCACAAGCCACAGATGACACTGCCTCTCCACCCCTTCCACTTCTGCCCAGGCAGCCAATAGCAAGACTCCAACCTGGTGCCCGGGAGCTGACCATCCCATTCCCACCTCTACCTAGAAAAACCCTCCACAAGGCCAACTCATGGACTGGAGTGCTTTCAAATATGAGGAACTCCAACCAAACAAAAACAAAGAGGCAATGTTTCCTTACTACCCCCTGCTCTGAGCCTTACTTTCCCCCAAGGCCCTTAATGTGACTGAACTGGAAACCTTCCTCAGTTCCTGGGTTCACCACCTTCTCCATCCTGGGGAGAGGAGGAAAAGGAGATCAAGAACAGAGACTGACCAAAAGCAGAAGGGGAAGGGGCAGGAGACAAAAAAAAAAAAAAAGTAGTTTTCTGAAAAAATGGGCAGAAGGAGGAAAGATAAGTAGGTAGTAGTCTTGCACCTATAATACAAAGTGAAGAAAGTTTGGTTCAGAAGGTAAGTCCTGGGGGATCTGACCCCCAAGCCCCGGAGTAGGGGTAGGAGGCCAACGGCAACAGAGGCCTGGTACTGCTGCTGAAGCGTGAAAAAGTGCCGTGATGGAGCCGTCAGGAGGCAGCCCTTGGGAGCCAGGCTCACTGTACTGTTACTGTAGGGGCTGTGTGCTGAGGGGGGAATGGAGGTTATTTCTTAGCTCTTGTGCTAGCTCCTTACTTGGTTGCTGCTAGCCACCCCCTCAATTGCTACAACACTGGCTCTTGCTCTGCTGGGATTGCTCGTGAAGATCCACACCCCGGCTTCAGCCTGCTGCACCCCCCAGATTCTGGGGTTCACCCTTTGGCAACTTCTTAGCTATTGCCAGGAAGAAATCATTCACGTTTATAGCTGTCTTGGCTGAAGTCTCCATAAACAATAAGCTGTTGTCATCTGCATATGCCTGGGCCTCTTCATACTCCACCATGCGCTTGTTGGCGAGGTCGGCTTTGTTCCCTGCCAGGGCAATAATGATGCTAGGATGGCCTGTCGCTGTAGTTCTTTTACCCATGTCTTCGCTCGGGCAAAGGTTTCCTGATTAGTAATGTCATAAACCACAATGGCAGCTTGGGCACCTCTGTAGTACATGGGGGCCAAGCTATGGTATCACTCCTGCCCAGCTGTGTCCCAGATCTCAAACTTGACTGTCGTGTCATCTAGACAAACAGACTGGGTGAGGAAGGCCACTCCAGTGGTGCTCTCCTGGTACCCGTGGAACTGCCCTTTGACAAAACGTAACACCAGGCTGGTTTTCCCCACCGCAGATTCACCCAGCAGGACCAGTTTGAACTGGCATATTTTGTTGGCCTGGGGCTGCCTGTTGGGCCTGGCTGTGCTTCTGCTAGTCATGGCTAGATTATCAGAGTGGGAAAGGGTGGAGGGAGGGGAATGCCACAAAGCGGCAGAGGGGGGAGGGGGAGCGGAGGGGGCGTCCAGGCTTCAACAGTTCTGGGGCTCCGTCTCCCCCGTCTGGCCCAAGCCTGTCATGCCTCTGCTTTTTAATACCCTGTCTACGTTTGTCATAACTTTCCTTCCAAGGAGCAAGCGTCTTTAATTTCATGGATGCAGTCACCGTCCACAGTGATTTTGGAGCCCAAGAAAATAAAATCTGCCACTGTTTCCCCATCTATTTGCCATGAAGTGATGGGACTGGATGCCATGATCTTTGGTTTTTGAATATTGAGTTTCAAGCCAGCTTTTTCACTCTCCTCTTTCACCTTCAAAAAACTCTTTATTTCCTCTTCACTTTCTGCCATTAGAGTGATATCATCTGCATATCTGAGGCTGCTGATATTTTTCCTAGCTATCTTTATTCCAGCTTGTGATTCATCCAGCCTGGCATTTCATATGATGTACTCTGCATATAAGTTAAATAAGCAGGGTGACAATATACAGCCTTGACCTATTCCTTTCTCAATTTTGAACCAGTTCATTATTGTTCCTTGTCCAGTTATAACTGTTGCTTCTTGACCTGCATACAGGTTTCTCAGGAGGCAGGTAAGGAGGTCTGGTACTCCCATCTCTTTAAGAATGTTCTAGTTTGTTGTGATCCACACAGTCAAAGGTTTTCATGTAGTCAATGAAACAGAGGTAGATATCCACCATTATGACTTTCAATACAAGATTCAAAAATCTGTGTTGTTAAAGCCTATATATTTACTTTACAGAATTAAAAGAATAGATGTAATTATTTTCTTAGAAGAGATAATTCAGTGTTCCTTTTGAAAATATCTCATGTAAACTTCATCATTACCACACTAATTTAAGGTGATGGGAGTGAAACAAAATGTCCATAATCTGAAAGAAAAGCAAGGAAAAAAATTTAATGCCTGAAATTGCAATAGCATTTTGGAAACTTTTTTTTTTTTGGAAAGCAAGCATTAGTTTTTGGATTAACCACTAAAATGTTAATAATGATTTCTGGGGAAATTTTTAAAATATTCAATGTGACTGATGAGCAACAAAAAACGGGGAGGGAGGATTCATCATGGTTCCTTGCTGCCTGGATATAAACACCAATTGATGTTTCTCAGCTTTGATAGCTGTGGAATTGCCCTCTGGTCATCTGCCACTTAAGTTTGGTACAAAAGTAGGCCAAGATGTAAATTATTGAATATTTTAAATAATCTTTCAGAGAAAGTGTTTGTTAAACTTAGAAACTCTGAGGGCTTAACACTTTGACAGTAATCTGAAAATCCACTAAACCCATCTGGTTTTGATTCCTTCATTCAAGTCAACACTGCAGTTTGAGATGATGTCATTTGTACCCAGACTGATTTTTAAAACAGTTGTTTTTAAGGGTTGAGTCATTAAAATTCAGCAACCTTGACAAATGAAGTAAAATCACTATAAAGGTTTGTATAAATTCTAATGCAATGAATTTGAAACACACCTACTCTTGGAAAAGAATCTCCAATTCCTTGTTTACATACAGAGATTTTTAAATAGCAATTCAAAAGCCCAATAAATAAAGATCCCACCTGAAACTCTTTAAAACTGCTCAGCTCCTTATTAATCCTGCTTTGACATTCCATAATTTATATATTATAGCACCATTCTGAAAAGGCTCTAGCAAAAGCCTCTAAGTTCCAGATTTCAATTCCCCAATAACTATATGGAACATACATCTTTCAAATTCAACACACCCAAACTGAACTCATCTGATCCACAAAATCCACTCTCTGTCCCATTGTACCACTCAAGCCACACAAGCTCAAAAAGTTTAAGTCATTTTTGACAGTTTCTTCTTTTCCCCCACCACATCTACATATTTGCCAACTCCTATTGACTGTTTCTTTGAAATAGTTCTTGAGATTTGCCTCTTTCTTTGGGGTCACTGACTATTGCTTTTGTTGAATTTGTTGAAATATTGCTTCCATTGTTTCTTATGTTCTGGTTTTTTGGCTGTGAAGCATCTGGGATCTTAGCTCACTTACCTGGGATCCAATCTGCACCTCTTGCTTTGGAAGGTGAAGTCTTAACCACTGGGCCACCAAGGAAGCCCTACCCTAAGGATCAAAGTTTCATAACTGATAGCAGATGGAGGAGAGGAGATGCAAGAGAAGATAGAGTACTCCAACTGGTTAGGATTGTCATGAGCAGAGCTGAAGAGGAAGGCCCTTGGAAGCTGTTTTAGGGCAAATAAGAAAAGCACTTTGGCTGGAGGTTGGATGAGGGCGTTAGAAGAGGAAGAATAGACACAGTTGTAGATGGATGAGGCCAGGTAGAGTTTGGGAGTGGGAATGAGAACCAAGAAATGTTTTTAAATAGGTGGGTGATATCCAATACAGTATGCTAATGCATATATATGGAATTTAGAAGGATGGTAATGATAACCTTATATGCAAGACAGAAAAAGAGACACAGATGTATAGAACAGACTTTTGGACTTTACGGGAGAAGGCGAGGGTGGGATGATCTGAGAGAACAGCATCGAAACATGTATATTATCAAGTGTGAAACAGATCGCCAGTCCAGGTTGGATGCATGAGACAAGTGTTCAGGGCTGGTGCACTGGGATGAACCAGAGGGATGGGATGGGGAGGGAGGTGGGAGGGAGGTTCAGGATGGGAAACACATGTAAATCCATGGCTGATTCATGTCAATGTATGGCAAAAACCACTACAATATTGTAAAGTAATTAGCCTCCAACTAATAAAAATAATTGGGAAAAAATAGGTGAGTGATGGATGAGAACAGAGTCAGTAGATAGGTGAGAGGTGATGATAGTAAGGTAGTTCTTTTGGTAGTCTTAGGTTTAAGGAAATAAATGGTAGCAAAGTAATAAATATGAGTAATGACAGTGACCCCAAAGTGAAAGTGAAGTCACTCAGTTGTGTCCGACTCTTTGCAACCCCGTGGACTGCAGCCTACCAGTCTACCAGTTAGAACTGGACATGGAATAAACTGGTTCCAAATAGGAAAGGGAGTACGTCAAGGCTGTATATTGTCACCCTGCTTATTTAACTTCTATGCAGAGTACATCATGCAAAAGGCTGGGCTGGATGAAGCACAAGCTGGATCAAGATTTCTGGGAGAAATATCAATAGCCTCAGATATGCAGATGATACCACCCTTATGGCAGAAAGTCAAGAAGAACTAAAGAACCTCTTGATGAAAGTGAAAGGGGAGAGTGAAAGAGTTGGCTTAAAAGTCAACATTCAGAAAACTCAGATCAGGATTCAGGGAGAAATTCCAATCACTAGTTGAGAATGAGCAACATATTTTCCTGAATATCTTGTTGAAATTATTAAAGAAAAGGTTGCTGTTCTGCTAGTAAATGTGGAGGGAAAGATATTGCCATGGAAATAGCCCTTACTTAACATCTGCTTTTCAAGAACTTTTGAGGCTTTCAGGTACATGAATGTTTTAATAATTTCCCAGATAAGTGACCTTATTTGAACACTGTTCATACTTGAGGCAACAAAGACTTCAGTGTAGAGTTTGAATTTCAATAACTGCAATTAGGACTCTCAATAATTTTATTTGAAATAGAGATTTTGCCCCCAGATTACTTAGCGATAGAGACAAAAGGCAAGTCTTTGAAAAAGCTTGTTTACCAGGACAAACCTCATTTACTTAGAGAAGAGCAGCAAACATAAATGGGGAGAGGTGTAGAAACAATATGAGATCTCATAAATTCCATGGCAGGTCCAAGGGACCTCTGAGGACACATGAGCAGGCAGAAAGAATGTCTGTCATTAAATTCCAAGGTGGAAGTCATCCACTTATATTCAAAGGTGAAGCTGCTTCATTTGGAGGTGGCTAATTCAAGTCTCTCTTCATATTAACACGCAACAGGCTGATGGAGGCCAAAGCATTGGTCTGAGTGACAGTTTTGCCTGCATTGGCCCTGTCCCATCCTTATCTGCAGCGAGGTCTCCTTACATAGCCTCTGGGACCTGTGTCTGGGTGGCTAGTTCATACCTAGTACTACAGACACTTCTTTTCCTCTGGACATGCTATATCCCCAACGAGCAGTGAACAAACCTAGTTCACAGAAGAGGCAGTTTATTGTGGTATTTAAAAATACAGACTCTGAAACCAGACTCCCTGGGTTCAAATCCTGCTTCTACCACTTAGTGAGAGATGAGGGGAAGCTGACAGCCACTCTGTACCTTGGCTTTCTTACCTATGAAACAAGGATAACACCCTCAGAGAGCTGCTATAAGGCTGCAGCTTGAATGAATGTAAAGTGTTTAGGTGTTTGCCATTGATATTTTCCAGTACTTTCTCTGAAATCATTTGGAGAAGTTCAAAAAAGTAAATAAGTATATATTGTTAAATTAAGTCAACAGGACCAAAGTGGCCTTAGCCATGAGGCTAAGCCCCACATCACCAAACTGAGACTTGAATCCAGTTTCAACTCTCCCAGAAATGGAATCTTAAACCAGTCAGTTGGGAATCACATGATAAGCATTAGTTAGTAGGTAATCTGCCAGATAAACTTCTACCATCCCTAAAAAGGGAAATAATCTTGCAATCACTGATCCCATTTTCTACTGACTTTTTGTATAAAGTTGATAAGATCTATAAAATTTATTCAGTTGACTTTTGCTTTTTAACAATATATCTTCTAATATAAATAACTTTATAACTCTCACAAGCCACTTCTTAATTTTTTTTTCAAGATGTAACTGAACCAGAGAAAAGATGGTTAGATGGAAAAGGCAAGTATTCTACCTAGATGGAAAAGTATTGTAGCCCAGAGAAAGTAGACGATTTCACCCCAAATCATCTTTACCATAAACACCTAAGCTTGCACAGGGAGGCCCTGCATAGGGGCATGACTGCAGGGCTCAGACTCCCCTGGAGAAAGAACCGGCCGGCCCTGAGGCTTCCAGGAGCCT